CGGCAGGCGGGGGGGCGCGGAGCGTCTTTAAGCCATACGGCAGCCTGGAGCCGCGGCTGGCTGCCTGCCACCCGTCTCTCTTTAGGAAGAAGAAGACCTTGAGAAACAAAAGATTATGCAATGCACGGCAGAGTAACCTGCGCCTGACCTCCGTGACCAAAATCCCGCTTCACCTCCTCCGTTTCCCAAACCTCCTGGATTTCCAGGGGGATCGCCCCCGGTCCCCACCGCATAGCCACAGAAAAGCCGGTTGGATTCCTCCGGCAGCGGCAGGCTGGAAGAAACCATTGCGGGGAGGCAGGAGAAGCAGCAAACCCTGCCCCCTCCGCCGGGCAGCGAGGCGTGCAGGTGCCCCCTCGATCTCCAACCGAAAATCCAAGCAGATTTGACACGCACATAGCAACAGCAGGTCCTCGGTCAGCGCCAGCAATCATTTACTGCAATTGCATCACAACAGCAGCTGTCCCTTAAGTTTTATCGCCGGGCAGCTTTTTGTAACCCCGCGCTCAAAGCATGCTCAGTATAACAGGGCTATTTAAGCGTAAGCAATGCCGTGTCGCTGCGAGGCTGCCGTCTCCCCTTCTCTCCTCGCAATCCCATTTAACGCCTCTCAAATCCCTTCCCATCGTCAGCTTCGAAAAAAACCCACATCTTTTGGCCATTTTGCTCCCCGTGCTGAGCACCTTCCTCCCCTCCGCTTCAGTGCGTGCCCTACATCACAGCTTGCGCTCCGAGTCCTCCGCACAAAGAGAGAGAGACAGAAGAGGATGCTCACCTCATTTATTGACAAGGATTGTCAGGAGTCGAGATTGCAAATGAAAGGCTTAAATCTTGCAGGAGGCAAAGGGGGAGAGGAGGAGATGCCCGAGGCGGCGGGAGCCTGTGCAGGATGCAGGGTGCCAGCGCTGGCAGGCTGCTCAGCTTTTCAGCTCCTCCGATTACATTTTTTTGCCTGTTGGGTGGGAAGGATGGAGCAACGCCTTCAGCTCATCTGCTTTAGCCCGAAATCTCTCCTTCCATCTTCTCCCCACGAGCAGCTTCATAACTGAGCTCTGGGGTTTGGGGGTGCTATTTGTCCTTGTAGTCTATAGCCATAGAAAGCCCCTTAAATCCCTCCTAAAGAGGAGGGCTCTCGGCGTGACAGACAAGGAGACTTGCCAGTCAACGCCAGACCCAGCGCAGCCCCGCCGCCCGCCCGTGGGGAGCCGGCGAGGAGCCGCGGGAGCCGGAGGACTCGCCCTGGGTCTTTGCCCCTTCCAGTGGGATGAGTTACCCAGGTCCTTTTTTACCTTTGCCCATTTTCTCGCCGTTCTGCTATTTGCGGCTTCCCAGAGGCCACAAGCATGTCAGTACCGTGAGCGTGTCAGTGCCACGAGCGTGTGGGAGCTCAGCACGGGTGACCACGCACCGAAAGCACCAACGCGCAAAACCCCAGGGGCCGGGACAGGAGGACAAACATAAAATCACAAATGTCTTTGGGGTTTATTTTCAGAGCCGTGGGTTTGGGAGGGCTGCAGTCGCACCCCCTCACCCCGACGGGCTGACTTCTGGCGGGAAGACAACAAACCAGTGCAGAAAAACCCCAGAGCTGGTGGCCGCTCGCGGCGATCCGGCCGGGCTTGCCTCCAGCAAAGCCATCTGAAGGATCTTTTCGATGATCAGAGCAGACAGCGAGGATGGCCGAGATCCCCGGGCTACCGGTGACGCACCCTCTGACCCCCGCGCCGGCCCTCCTCTTCCTCCTCGTCCTCATCCTCCTCCTGCACCTCGTTCTCCTGCCCTGTAAAACACAGATAACCACATTCACCCACTCGGGAACGGGTGGAGGCTGAACCTCTCCGTAGGTGCCTTGGCACATCCTACATGCTCGATTTACATATATATACGTTAGAGGACGAGGGTGATCAGAGTCCGGTGCCGGTCCCAGCGCCAGCGTACCCTCTGCCGGGCCCATCGCGGCTTCCAAAACTGGATGCCGGTGCTCCACGCTGCTTGTCGCGGCGATTTTGGGGCAGCCGGAGCGGGGAGGCCGGGGAGGCCGGGCAGGGGGGGCTGCGGCGCGGCCCCGCTGCGGTGGCAGGGCCCTGGGCCTGGCCCTCCCGCCCCGGAGGGCCCCAAACACCGGAGCTGACCCCGGCAGAACCGTCCTGGCGAGGAACACATCGGCCGTGACAGGCGGCTTTGGCTCCGTTAGTGGCTGGTGACAGGCGGGAGGCCTCGGCGCTTCGCAAGGCCGGGAGGGGCAGGCCGTACCCCGCGGCCGTTGCCATGGGAACAGCCCCCCCCAGGACTACAAAACCCATCGGCCCCTGCGGCGCGCCGCGGCGCTCGGGCGTGCCCCTGCCGCCCAGTGCG